TTACTTCAAGATAATATTCTTACTTCCAGTTAGTTCATTGAAATAAACAAAAATCAGAAAATACTATTTTCTCTCCAGTTGTATTGAGTCTGTTCAAAAGCAAAAATTACCATTCTTTCTTCCATTTGGTTCAACTGAAATTGACAGAAATCAACCCGATCAAAAAAGCAAATCCTATAAAGTCAATCGATGTTTGAAACGGGGAAAGAATAGGAAAAAAATAAAAATGATCGTCAAGCTTTCACAAGTTTGAAAACTTCTTTTTGTTAAATTATGGCAGATTTGAAATTCTGTACATCTGTCATTAACTCAATCACTAGTGATGAGTGATGAGTTGTTTTGGGAAATCGACCGATGGTCTAGTTATCCATAAGACAAGGTTCGCACCTTTGCTACTGCGAGGTCCGAACATGCCTGTGCCACAGCTGGGTGCAGGTGCACCCAAGCTCACTTAGTGGATCAAATAGAGGCAGGTAATAAATCAGATCACTTTTCTGTGCCGATAGGGGGAGCAAATTATATATTTTTTGAAAGCTTATCGCATGCAGAGTCCGAATATCTAAAAATTGTGATGGTTGGTGAGATCCCAAAAAATGGTGAAAAATCGTCGTAATTATGTAATTCTGCATTATTCCGTTCATTTTTGTGCACTTAGTTTCTCCATCGAGCACTCATACACATGCAGATCTTCATTATCGAAGCCTATTTCATCACTATGCAAAAACTCTGGCACGTGACCATCCCCATCCCTAAGATACGGTCTTTTAAAAATGGTCTCACGTGGCAATCAGAGCACGAGCACCCTCTTTCGGGCTTAGATATCTCGCGTGAAAACCCGAACAAATAGGTGAGTTATAATAATTCTTATAGGGAATTTTCTGTACTATTTGCTGGCATAGAACAATTCGCCTAAGAATAGAAGTTCATGAATGTGCGAAGCTTCGAAGTTCGAGCTTCGCGCCCTGAAATATTTTTTTTTTGATTTGAAATAAAAAAGTTCTAGACCATCATCATGAAAAACAAGGAGCAGAATCCTTTCAATGTATTTAATGATTTATACCAGCCAATCTCATTGATTACCGGCCATACAGCGACTTAAGAGCTAAAAAGCCTAGGACCGTGGCCGTTTACCGTGACGTCACCAGTGTAGTGAAAAATTTGAGTTTCCGAAAAAATAATTATGGATTTAGATAGATTGTAGGACACTGATTCCGAATCTGTGTTCCACTCTGCTCAAAAATGATTTTGAAAGGAGTTACGAGGTTGCGGCGCTTTGAACGCGACATCGCGTTTATTTCGGAAATTTTAAAGGCAGTGTCTCACCAAAATTTAGTTGCCGAGATTTTTGCATTTTTCAAGCCTGTCGGACTTTGTCTAGCACTGTAGGCTTAAAATCGCACAAAGTTTCCAAAAGCCCTGTTTTCTGGAGGCTCTACGGAAGCAACGTGGACGAGTTGTACCTTCCAACTTCAGCCTCAGCCACAGTGGCAGCAACAGAGGGGAGGTGAATGCCAAGTGGAGGGACATGTTCAAACGCGTAAGGGGGGAGACCGAAGGAGTCGTCCGCGCGTACCAAATCGCTCTCCGCGTACCACTTTGAGCGAATTTTTCTCAGCGTGGATGGGGGCCAAATTGAGTGGGACTTGTCGCAATGGCCTACTTAGAGGTCCCTATAATAGAACATGTGAAGATCCGCGCGACCTTAACTTTGGTGAGGACACTGCCTTTAAAAGGCGGCACCGATGGTATTGTATGTATTACGTCACTACTATCGTTATCAATCTATAATCAGACAGTGATTGGCTGACCTAGTTTTACACTTGCCTAGATTGGGGCTGTAAGCAAAAAAGAAATTGAGATTGTACTTTATTAAGTGGAAGAAGGGGCTCTTTGAAGTAATACAATTGTGATAGCCCTCATGTGGCACCTGATTGCCCTGCTAAATTTGTTCTGATATGGAGCAAACGTAATGGAAATTTCGTACACTGACTAAGTGAAGCATATATTCATATCATTCATTCACGACATTCACGACATAAACATTTTTTCCGCTACATTTGGGCAAAAAAGCTGAATCACTGACCATTATCAGCATTTGCTCCTATCGAAGCTAAGTCATTGATAATTCACCAGATGATATTCCCTAATTATGCAGCCAGAGTGGTCGTCATCAGAGTATTATTTACAGAAAATGATGTCATCACAGCAGCAGATTAAGGTTTGTCATGGCCCACCTTCTGAGAAGAGTCTGTATGCAAAGCTGTTATGCACATCATTGTAAAATCGATGTTTGAGATGGGGAAATCTATTTGGCTTGGCGCAAACGGCCATTTAATCAGGAGGCCAAGGCCCACTCTTTACGTTCTACTTTGTCCAGGCGGGCACCTCTACACATCAGAATGTGCGCCGCGCAAAGCTGAATCGAATGATGCCCTTGGGCTAAGGATTAGTCCGCTTTAAAGCGAGTTCTGGCCACGCTGTGATGTCACATGAATGGGGCGACTGTGCGTCGTTATTTTGAAGACAAAAAACGAGCGGTATTGCCCGCCTTACACCCACCGTAATCTGCATGACATGGTCAAAAAATGGATAATGTTATCGCCTTCTGATCTCCGAAGAACCCCAGCGTACCACGTTGTAGTCAATTCTATCACTTTAGCTCACCCACCATAAACCTACGGCAATCTTGCTAAATGACACCACAATATAAAATGTTTACCATTTTCGTGATCAGCGCCATAACCCTACCGATTAAGTTCCGATCAATTTCGTGAATTTCTTCTTTCTACCATGAACCTACCATACCAAGCCAAATGTCTCCGCCTTATTAGAAATTATATTATTCGTAAGCGCACCCCCACGCCAAAAGTAAGTTAAAATTGGCAAGTACTCGTGGACTTCGATATTTATTTACTTATTTATATAATGCATATGATAGTGTACCGAAATAAAGGCAAAAATTACATGAGCCGTCTGAACATGCCCCATACCCTATCACGGTTGCTGAAAACTACGAGCAAAATGTATTCCGGAGTACTTTGTCATAAGCCACTCAGGTTTGTTAGGATGTTTATTTGGTCTAACGTTTCGGCAATTATGCCTTCCTCAGAGACCTGGAAGAAAGTCTTACACTTGCTTTTCACACTATGCTGTCAAATCTCTCCCCTTGACTAGTTAGTTCGATGCCTTACAGGTAAACGCATTAAGATCCCAAAACTGTAAGTAGCCTACCGTAACTTCCACCGATAGCGCGACTGTAGATGTTCAACTGCCACTGATGGTAACTATGTCCGACCAAAATGGTCAGTATGAGTAGTGGCCGTATTTACAAGTGACAGTATGATAGAAATGGCATCAAGTCACTGGTGATGGAGAGTTGTTCATTCTTCCCGTTTAATTTCGGTTCGCGCGAAAGAATGTATGCTGCTTCAAGCGCCTTGCGAGCAGCGATTCTCGATTCGTAACCCAGAATAATGCACCTGATGTTGTAGTCATTACCGTTGTGATCTACTTTTCTATGTTTCCCTAGCGGACTTGCCATGCTTGCCCGCCTTTTACTGGCCAAGTGCTCATTAACACGTACGCTGAGTTGTCGACCAGTCTCCCCTATGTACGTTGCGTGGCAATCTAGACATTCAATTTCGTAAACAATGCCAAACTTAGCACAGTCCCCCGTTTTTCCGTAAGGACAAATAACGCAGTTCATCGTAACACAAGCTGTGTCGTATAAACGATTACGCACTAACTGTCGCTTAATGTTGCTTCGCGGGATGTTAACGAGGACAACATCTTGCTCCAGCTGAGCCTGTGTTATACAGTTTTGGAACGCGTGCTTGACCTTGTCGGAAATGAATGGTAAACACAGTGGTATCCTGATGCCAGTTTGGTTGTCTTTAGCAGTTACCGTAATTTTGGAATGTCTAGACTTTGATGGAAAGTAGCCATTGAAGGCTGCTATCTCATTTGCCAGCTTGAGGGATTCCTGTCGTTCACTCTCCTCCACTGCAAACTTCAGTTGCCGTCTTGTACATATTCCGCAATACTG